GTGTTTTTGTGGTGATTTTTTTGAGGGTGTTTGGTGGTTGTTGTTGTTGTGGTGTTTTTTTTTTCCCCAAGGAGTTACAATTTGGGATATCTTTATCTTCTTAAGCACAAAGGCAGTTTATAAGCAAAAGACTTCCCCCCCACCCCCACCCCGCTTACCTTTTACCTGTCTGTAGGTTAATGGACTTATCTATATTTCAGTAGGAATAAATACTGGAAATACAAGTCTCTTCACATATCAAAGTACTCTTAAATATATCATCGCTGTTTTTCATGAAAAACATGCTTTTAGCCTATTAACAGGTTTGTTATTGGCAGTAGATGATAGGATGTGGTTCCAACCTTGATAAGGAGGTAACTCTTCTTTCTTCCTATTAAAGCTGATTTGCTTTTCTTTGTCCTGTTTGGGATTGCGAAATGTTCCATATCTTTTAACAAGTACCAAATATGCTGCAATAAAGAATTTCAAACAACGTTCCCTAAACTACTGAAATGATACATGTTGACAATTCCAAAATTAATTTTTTTTGCATAAGTGGGTCTTTACATAATCTCGAATCTTAGCTGTCAACTGGTCTATCCTTTGGCATATGCCCTGCGTGTTAAGCATCTGACAAGACTTTTGACTTTAAAATTGTATTTTTACCTTGTTATGGAAGAGTATTAGCTCACATCTTTTGAAGTGAAATTCTACATCAGCTCAAGCTTTCTATCCTGTGCCAAGAATTTCAGTTTCTGCATGAAATGCATAGTTAAGGCTATTGGATTCTCTGCATCGTCATACAAAATATTCTAGGAAAAAAAGGAGATTTTTAGTTGCACAGACTAATGAGTTCCATGCATGTCTGATTGTTCTGGGATCCAATCTTCAAGTAAGCATCTTCCTTTTGGACGTTCTGATACTTTGGAATATACTTAATCTTGTGCAGCTGTGATAGTTTGAGCTTGAAGCAGTTTTGGTCTCTACTTTGACTCTTTCTAATAACGCTCAGTTTTCACTGTCTGTGTATGTGTTCTTTTTTTGCAAAACCCAACTGTTCGTATTGCATACTTACTTCCAGAAACACAGTTGGATAATGAGTTCTGCCTTTTGTGAAAACTGTGTTGAAGATTTTTTTCTACTTTTTTTCTTTCTCTGTTGCTTTGGAAATAGCATATCAGTTCTTAGCATGTACGATAGCCAGAAGCACAAGCACTAGCACAAGCAAAATATGTTGCTTGTAATAAAAAGTTGAGAGTGGCCTCGTTTCCAGTGTTCATCTTGCAGTGCTTTTTATATTTAACTTGCATACAAATTAGGTATGTAGGAATATTGAAAAGATTTGTACTGTTTGAGCTTCCTCATCTCTGACCACTAAATGAACTTGATTTTGTGGCTCCTGTTAAAAAGTACTGAAAAGTGTGAAAGTAAATCAGAACTTCTACCAAGAATATGAGGGAAGATGGCATTGCTACTGTATTGCAGCCTGAATGCTGACCTCCGGGTGCTACCACAGGATGCATCCCTAATTTAAGAACATGCTGGGGTATCCTGAGGTGTAAAGCCTGGCAGGAGTGCCTATAATGTCTCTATGGTTTTAGATGGAATGAAATAATATTAGGCTTAAGAATGTGTAGATTCATTGATACAGTGAATGTTGGTTTTCCGATTTTTCTTGCGCTTGTGTGAATTACAAGAGAACTCTACCAATCCTATATGTCCAGATGTTCAAGATACTTGTTTGAATGTGCCAAATGATGTTGGATGCATATTTTCAATCAAAAATTGTCTTAGGAGTTATCGCTCAGAAGAGGAATATGTTCTAGAAAACTCGTATAGCCATTGTTCTTGTCCAGAAATATTTAGAACTAAGTTGCATTTAAGAACAGTTGGCTAGTAACTTTTAAGTCATTGTGTTTACAAAGAATTAGTTTTTTAGTGTGAATTTATGTATAAATTACAATAGCAAACAGTTGCTCACTCTCTTACAAGGTGTATACTTGGGCTTTTCTTATAGAGGGAAAAGCAAGAGAGTCTCTCCTCTAGTTGAAATAGCAGGCTGTTTGCTATAGGTTTGTGCCTGTCTTTCCAGAGCACTAACAAAACAAGTTATTTGGTACGCTGCCGTGGGGCACTGTATTTTATACAGTCGTTAAAGGGTGGATGGCTGGAAGGATAGCTGAAGATTTTGGGGGGGAAAAGCCCAAACACTTCAAAAGATATTGAGAATGCTTCAAAACCATTCTTTGGCTTTTGTTTTGTGGAGCTGCAGTCATCTTTTCCCAGCAGTTAAATTATTTTTCTTCCAACTCCCACAAACTAGGAAAAGAGAATGGTAAGAAGTCCAGATAACTCCTCAGGACCTGAAAAGCGTAGTGGCATATAATGCATGTAGCGTTAGCACCGTGAACGCACCTGATCTCCTCTGATCTCTGAAGCTAACAGGTTGACCCTGGCTAGTACTTGGATGAGAAACCACTTGGGAATACTGAGTGCTGTAGCCTCTGTCTAGCAAGAGTGGAGTCTCCATCCTTGGTGATGTTAAAAATCTGGCTGGACAAGGCTCTGTGCAACCTTCTGTAGTTAAACTTGCTTTCAGCAGGGAGGCTGGACTAGTTGATCTCCAGAGGTCCCTTCCAACCTCAATGATTGTGTGATAACTTCCTCTTGAGTTGGGGTTAACATGACTTTATTGAGGTTATACTTTTCAGATCATTTAATGTATTATGCCCCATGTGGAAGAACAGAAATTTTGTTAGAGGTCAGTAAAATGGATAGGGTAAGTAAGCTGTTGAGCAGCAAGATTTAAGCCACCTTAGTGTTGGGCAAATACTTTTTGTCTTTTCTGGAAATCTGAGACTGCATTGTCGTGTTTGTAAGAGGTCTTTTCCTGCTTAACTGTATGAACTTCAACTGTGTACTGAACTTTTAAGCTATACAATAGCTTTAAAGTTGTCAGCTCTGTTTTGATAATGCTGTCAATGAACACTGAATGTGTAAAGCTCCCTGGGAAAGCTAATGTGTAAAAGCAGCTGTGTATTGGGTGTGAGATTCATTTGGGAGCAGTTTCTAGAGAAGATTGTTACATTTTATTGGGAAGATACATGACCTAATTAGAAATTGATTAATTTTTTCATTTTGGTGATTTAAACATAAGATATTTTGGTTAATATGAGACTGAATTTACTTACACAATCATTAAAGCAACAGATGTACAAGAACAAGCTGTCTTTAGATTAAAAAAAGCTTGTACAAGTTAGAGCTCACGTGGCTGTGCTTAAGAATAGAGCTGCTTGATCTGTCAAAGCACGTTACTAAAGTACCTTAAACTTGTTCGCTTCAAAAGATGATTTTTCAGCTCTTAGTATTCTATGTTTGAATTCCAGCATGTGGAAGACTTGAGGAGAAACTAGTATTTAGCCTTCATGCCGAAGGAGAGTGTGAACCCATGAGTTAACTTGGTTTGGGAATAAGTTGAAAGTCTTCGCGCAGATAACCTTTTAAGATTTGCTGGATCATAAGAATGGATTTCTCAGTAACTTGGCAGTAAATTTTTATTTACAGAGGCTGAAAAGAGGGTACATGAGATGTGAGGTTTTCGTCTGGCTCTATCTAGCCTTTTTCCCTAAAGACTATCTCATATTTCTGTTTTTTTTTGAGTTCTGTGGAAAAAGGAATGAGATTCTTTCTTCCTCAGAATCTTCTGTGTATTAAAGACTCTTAGAAATATTTCTAAGTAGATTGCATGTTTTAACCTCTGAGAAAGAAGTGATGTGAAACAGACTTGTAATAATAAAAACTGTTATATTGACACTTAGCATAGTGTAGGTAGTTCTGGAACGTGGGTTTGATAGTCTTGTTAAAGGCTTCAGAAAGGTGAGGGGTACTGGATCTTAAGGGTGGCTAGAATCAAAAGGAAAGAAATGGGAAGAGGTGCACTTTCTTGCTTAGTGGTTTTTGTTGTTGGTTGGTTGGGTTTTTTTGGTCATAGATTACTTAAATATACTGCGCAGTAATTAGTTTGGGAAGATTATGCAGATTTCCTAACTGTAGTTGATTGATGTGGTTTAACCTGGCCAGCAAGGAAACACCACGCAGCTGCTTGCTCCCTCTCCCCCTCCCCTGGGAATGGGGAAGAGAATTAAAGGGGAAAAGGGAAGGAGACTCATGGGTTGAGAAAAGAACAATTAATTAATGGAAATAAAATAAAATTTAAAGTAATAATGACAAAATATTATGTTTATATATGTTATTATAGTATATAAAAACAAGTGACGCACAGTATAATTGCTCACCACCCCATGACCAATGCGTATCCCATCCCAGCAAGAGATCCCAAACAGATAAGTCTGAACACAACAATCCCAGGCTAGCGAGAGGCTTGAAAAGAGGGAACTCCAAAAGTCTGAGAGCCCTGAAGAGAATTCCCCAACTTCCCCATCAACTCTCATATACCGGGCATGAAGTTGCATGATATGGAATAGTCCATTGGCCAGTTTGGCCCCCAATTCTAGATCTAAGTTCAAATCATAAGGGGAGTTGCCCTTTGTCCCAGCTGTGCTCCCCTCCAGCCTGTTGTGCTCCTGCACACTGGCAAAACACGGGAAGCTGAAAGGTCCTTGATGTCGCAGCACCAACTATAAACATCAGTGTGCTGTCAATAGTCTGCTCATAACAAATCCCATACTAAATATAAAACGCAGAGCTATGAAAAACTGGCTCTGTCCTAGCCGAAACCACGAAACTGATCCTTGGATGCTCAGTAGTAATACTGAACTAGAATAGATCAAAGATTAATTTGATACAAGAAAGTGTTTCTCATTCATCTTTACTTAGCAGACCTGGAAAGCTGCACTGTCTCACTATAAACAATTTCATCTTGTAATGTTAGCTTCTTGCTGTTTTAAATTATTTAATATTATGGTTTTTAAAAATTATTTAAGAAGTGTTAAGTAATATGCTTACTGATTAGAAGTGAGTCTGAAAGTTGAACTTGAATTTTAATCAATAATGTTGTTCAGGAATATGAAGCACGGACAGGAAGAATATATAAACCTCCACCCTCATCAGCAAGACGTAAAAATATTGAATTTGAACCACTTTCAACTACTGCTTTGATTCTGGAGGATCGACCAGCGTAAGTACAATTCTGCTGTGAAATTGATTATGACTGAATTTGTTAGATATGCTTCTGATGAGCTAAACTGCACAAGTCTTACACGAAAGTATCATGGGATTATTCTGTCCCAGATAATAGCTTAACAAATACCTCCAGAAGAATCTTTAAGTATATTGTAGTCTATATGAGGAATGCTTTCTTGCTGTAATGGGCCACCAGTCTGTTATCTACTGTGTATCACAGCTGCCTGTGACAGTGTTGTGGGCATCCTTGATCAGGAAAATTCCTGAAGACTTCTGTGGATTTCCTCTCTGCCATCTCAGTGCGCACTCCCTTCTTCTTCCCGCATTCTGGAAACTTAATTTCCCAGACCAGTTGGGAAGACTTAACAGTGGCAGTTGTCACTTCAGCAGTCCCGGACTTGACTTTCCAGAAGAGGTTTTTTTAAAAAAGAAAAAGTATTAGGTAGGTAACAGCAGGAGTGGGAAGAATTGCCTTTGAAACACAAGAAATACCTTCCTGTCACAAATGCTGAGTGCTGTTTTTGTGTCTGGCAACTACAGTTAAATGCTTTGTTGGTACCAAGATGATCGTGTTCACAGAAACTGTTCCTTGCCCCTGTACCAATTATATTTTCATGACTCCTAAAAACTACAGGTGAAGGCAAGGCAAGAGCAGATAAAGATGCAACAAAAATGGCATTAAGTACAAATAAGAATAGTAATGAAAAATGAGTCATAAATTGGTCAGTATTTTCAGCTATACAGTCTTCAGCAATTTGAAGGAAAGAGGAAGACCAGCTGACTAGGAACACATGCTGTGAGGGAAATAAATGGAGCAAAGCTTTAAAATTGTACCTTGAGAAAGCTTGTGATGGCACTGTTAAATATTTGCTCTAATCAGTTCCAATTAGGAAATGGAAAATAGAACATAGTGTTTCCTTTAATATTCTCTCTAGTCGTATATAAGCTCATTCAGTGCTAAGACAAATGGAGCTACAGTTTATTTTTTTGTAAATGAATTATTTCTTTTGCTGTATGGTGGAGAGTAAGATACGCAGTAACTGGTTTGCTATGCTTTTTTTTGTACTTTCAAAATACTACAATTCACAAACTAACGTAAGTATGTTTTTACAAACGGCACTTCACTTATCTCAAATTGGAGTTCCATCCCAAGTGTGTAATGTGTTGCCACAATCTCATCCTTGAAATATATTCTACTCTCACTTTCATTGGAAATTTATTAATAAAGTGATCTTTTCTGCTTGTATAAGAGGAGATATAAAACTTTTTTGTTGTTTTTTTCATATTAAAATGACAAAACCATCTTCTGTTTATTTTGAACCAAAGTATACTAGAGATTGGGTAAGAGACTGAGACCAAACTCTGTGTTCTGATTTGTTTTGGAATGAGTCTGCTTAGTGAAAAGGAAGTATGTGTTTGGCAATTAGGGGATCACTATGCAGCCAAAAACCAAACAAATTTTAAGCTGGTGACCTTGTAGCACTGCAGCAAGTTCCTTAGTTTTAGCTCTGGCATAAATGGGGATCTATCCTTTCTTCCTTTGGGGTAAACCAAACTTCGTTTGTGGGAGTTTTAAAGGGCTAACTATAATGAATGAAAACCTTTATCTTTTATTGAAAATACGTCATTGTTGATTTGATAAGAACGAACGGAGTATCAATATGCAGGTACATTTAATAATTAAAATAAGCACATGCAGAAATGCTTTGGAATAAATTAACTATATGGAATATCAGTATTTCCCTTTTGTCACTTGGTGCAAACTTCATTTGAGCATCATTCCAGATGTTGAACAAATCTAATAACCCTGCTTTAGGGGAAGCTATAGGACAACAAATAGAAGCAGTAACCATCTGGTAGTTCTCTACTGCTGTTACTGAAGCACTGGTAGTGTAACAACCCCAAAGCTCACCTTAGAGAGAAGCCAAATTAAAACCTGTTTTGAAATGGTTCAGAATGTCATTTGTATGTATTGAATTCAGGAACAACTTGTTTTCAGAAATCTTCCTGCCAAATCAGTGGAGGAGGCTTTACGTCACCGACAGGAATATGATGAGATGGTGGCAGAGGCAAAAAAACGAGGTATGTTAACTGCCAATAATCACTATAATTCTTTTTGACTGTGCAGCAAAAATAATTTCTGACTTTTAGTCTAGTAGATATAGTAAAGAACAACCTTGTTTAATATCTAGGTTGTTCTCTGGTACATATGTGCACACAGTTTAAAACAAAACTCAATTACCAAATTGTTGTCTTATTCCACCACAGTGAATGTGAGTAGGTTCAGAAGTCAGTTTAAACTTTTCTTTAATTTTTAAGCAGAAACTTGGTGATACTTTTCTTTTTTTAAACTACTTGTGTAATATGATCAGCTAGAAACTTTCTGGGTACTCGGACTCTTTTTTCTCAAGCTATATTGCTGCAGTTGCCACTAAGAGCCAAAGAATAATAAAGCTGATGGCTTAAAGGTCTGTTTTTTCAGGAATTTGAGATCAATCCCATTGTGAAGACAGATGAAAACTTAGGGTTTTTTCCAACCAGCTGTACCCGTGTGAACCTTCCTACTCGCACTAGATATGTTTAATTTAAAAATTAAAATTAAATCAGATCTGTAGCATCTGGTACTGTATCAATCTATGAATAGTTGTTGAAAGGACTTCTGTAGTCTTGTGCCTAGTATTCAGGGAATAAGCTATTTTAAGAGTCTATGCCGCGTGTTTTACTTGGGCTGTTGTCAGAGATAGAAGCTTCTGAACTGATTGAGCCTGTGTGGATCTGTGGCAGCTTACTCTGAAAGATGTAATAAGAAATCCAAGGCATTTGACAACTCATTTCACTCTTCTGTTGTGGTGTGCATCTTGTAAGGTGGGATCTGTGGTCCTTGCTCTCTAACTACGTTTTTGGAGGGTCAGCCATGTGTAGTGTTTCAGTATGTGTGCCCTAGTATTAATTTAACTATTGCTAGACACAAAGATTCAGTAAAAACTTAATGAAGCTGGTCAGCTGTATCAGTTTGCCAGGGATGGCAGATTTACTCCCTTGATGTGTCTAACGCACGCATAAATAGAAAACGTCTTGCTGCAGTTTCACAGTGGTTCTTAGTGATGTCAAGATAGCACTGCTCTGTCCTTCTTTTTAGCCTTTTTAATAAGAAGGATCTACAAGTCATCTTTTTTTAACAGAAGGCAGAATAATATTCTCATGTTCAGCATTGTGACTTTGTCTCAGATCTTTAAATCCTTTTCCCAGAAAAGAAAATACATAATCCTTCTAGGTGGAAGTTTTAGTAAAATCTGAGTAATACTAAAATGGATGTAGAATTGTATTTTTTAATAATAATTTTATCTATAAGTATTGCTGATTTATCTATAAGTATATCTATAAATCTAAGTAATAAGCAAGGTTTTGGTAAAATGTGGTGTGAAATTTGTAACAGGAAAAACAGTGCTAGTGATGTGCTTGCTTTTTAGTTATCGTTGTACTGTAGAAGAGAGTGCCAAAAGTTTTCTAGACAGATTTTTGCTTGTTTAAGTTGCTGTGTCTTTGAATAACTTAAAGATAGCTTAAATTAATAAGTTTTCCTGAGAAACGCACCTACAATCAACAGAAATAGTTGTGCATGAGCTAGCTCGTACTGTAATTTACCCTTGTGCTTTCAGACATCATCTAAATAATTAGATAATAGCCGAATTACTTACCTAATAATTTATATACACTAATAAAGATTTATTAACATGTTGCGCTTAACAGAAATTAAAGAAGCACATAAAAGGAAAAAAATAATGAGAGAGCGTTTCAAGCAAGAAGAGAATATTGCTAGTGCTATGGTGATTTGGGTCAATGAAATACTACCTAACTGGGAAGGCATGTAAGTAAAATCCTGTTGTGTAAATGAGGCAAGGGTGGCTGGTTTCTCCTCTGGAAACAGAGGAACCACATACCTTATTTTCCTGTTCTTTTCTGTTTTGTCAAGAAGTCAATTTTTGTTCTGTGATATAATGAGAGGTCATTGCAGAACAACATGAAATGTGCTTTCTGAGAGCTTAAAGGTTTGGGTTTTTTTAATGAGGCTTTGGCATAAGCAGAGATGCTTGAATATTGATTTGGGAAATAGTGTGTTATATTGCTTGTAAGTTGTCCGACAGTTTTAGAAAACAAGATGTGCAATATATGCCATTTTTTTTCTCTTTCCTGCTTCCATATCTTAGGCGTGCTACCCGAAGAGTTCGAGAGCTGTGGTGGCAGGGATTACCCCCAAGTGTACGTGGGAAGGTTTGGAGCCTAGCTGTGGGAAACGAATTAAATATCACTCCTGGTATGCCTTAACAGATCACATTTTGTTGCAAAATTAAGTTGGTTATTTTCAAAGAAAAACTTTAACTTTTGTTAAAAAAAATATAAATCATGGTATATTTGCTTTTTGAAGAACTGTATTTTACAGTCTTAGGAACAGGTGCTTTTTACAATTAGCCATTGTAGCCTGGTAAATTATGGAAACAAGGTTCAAAACTTCCTTAGAAAACCATTTTAGTCTTATATGAGTTAAGGTGGTGCTCCCCCTCAAAAAAATTTTTTTTGTTTTTCAAATTAAGAATTTGTAGCTTTTCTTTCATTAGAGGATGGAAAAAGGAGTTGCTTTATTTCATAACTAATGATTCTGAACTGGAAGTGTTCTAACCCATTCACAAAAATAAAAATCAGAATTATTTAAGACATCCTTTCCCTCTTGTGATTTGCATGTTCACCACAGAAGAAAGCATAATGCAGTGCACACTGTAAAACTGTGTATAGTGGTACTCCAGTGGTTAGTGGTAACCATCTCATAGATTCTCCCCCACCCCCAGTGGTTAAGATGAAACCAAGCAACAGAACCAAAGCCAAGAACACTTAGTGTGTTTTTATTTTGGATGAGTGCTTCTGTTACTTATTTCTTCCTTTTTTTGTTGTTGTTTTTATTTTCTTGCAGAACTTTATGAAATCTTCTTGTCGAGAGCTAAAGAACGATGGAAAAGCTTCAGTGAGACAAGTTCTGAGAATGATATAGAAGGTGAGGTCTCCTGAATGCTAGACAGCCTCTTACTCACTTTTACAAACTCAGAAAGTTTCATAAGTTCAGCTGCAATTGCAGCATTTGGTCATTCCCTACTTAAATAGTTGTTTTCTTATAACAAGTCAGAGAAGGAGGAGCTTAACAGTGTTTAGCTGTATCAATGAAAGATGCATGGAAATATTGCATGTGCTAGTTCACTTTCAAATGAATGTGTTTTCCACTGAATTCCTGAAATACCAGGACTTAAGCTCTCATGAAAATTTCGGATGAAATACAAAATGAAGAAATGGAAAATGAATTACAGTGTGTGCTGTTGCTTAGCTCTGCTTAGGTGGTTCTTATGTTGGTATCCCTTCCACAATTTTGGTAAAGAAAAAAATTATTCTCTATTTTTTAATTGTGGAACTGAAAGGTAAAAGAATATGTAACGTATGACACGTTTCAGATCGCATTTGGGTTTCCTCGGTTGCCTAGAGATGGCCTTTCCTCCGTAATCTATTAAGTAGGGATGTTAGCACACTTGTATGGAGAATTATCACTGGCATATTGCTGTCTCCTGTGGCTATTCTCCCTGTTAAAAATAGCATCGATGATGTTTTTAATGGTGGATATATCCTTGTTATAAAGATTAACTCCTTGTGCTCTTAACAGTTGCTTTATAAAATGCTGTCTTGTGTGATACTGTCAGTACCAGCTGCTATGAAATAAGTTTGGTTTTTTTTTTTGAGCTGGTCTCTTTTTTGGGAAAGAAAATGCCACTGTAATGCAAGAAGTATTTTTTTTTTGCTTGTACTTGCCATAGCCTGTCCTGACTAATTGGCGACTCTGACTGTAAATTATTTGGGTGGTCTTTAGGCTACCTCTGTGAATCATCTGAAACTTGTATTAAAAAAATTGTGTGTGTACATGACTGTAAATATGCTTATCCTTGGAAAGCTCGTTTGCAATGCCCCTTGGTATGTAGGGAGGTGGCTTGTTCTTTTGTTGTGGGGGTGTGGGCTAAGTGTAGGGGAAGGCTTAGGTAATTTGTTTATTTTGGAAAGTTAGTAGGTCTGGATGGCAATGAAAGGGGAAAGGGTTCAATTTGATTGTCAGATGTTCTGGGAAATGTAGTAATAAAGGAAAATTTAAAGTAATAAGATTTTAATCTCTGGTTGAAAAGCAAGCCAGCCCAATGTCCTTATTAGTAATATTTGGTAGCAAAGTCTAGAAGATGAATTATTTTAGCCTCATTTAACATTCTCTAGTAGTTCTGAAGGTTTTTCCTGTTCAAATATCTCTAACAATTTATTTTGGCAGATAAAGATTAAAGCATGAAAAGTATCTTTTTGTGTTTGGAAGACAAGACATCCATCAGAAGTTGTTATCTGTCAGATCTGTTCAAAAGAACCCCAGTGGCTCCTCTTTTGTAGTTGAACTGAGTTTCTTGTATAAATCCAGAGTTTCTTGTGCTCTATACTGTAGATTATAATCTTCCTTTGGAGTAATCTAAATGGATACTGTCCCAAATGAAATGATCCAAAATTAACCAGTATAATACTTGTTCATTTTGAAAGAGGAAGGAGAGATTAATCAGCAGTTCTTGAACTTTTTATTTTAGATTATGTGTGTACTTTCTCTGTAATAACTGCCTTCTGTCTCCCAAATTCCCCTAACACAGCCTGCAGCAGTCCCACTCACTCCTAAATGCAACTATCTTAGCTTTAGGAGGACTGGAAGAAAATGCTGCTTTCTAGGCTTCAGCAGAGCAGTTTCTGTTTAGCCAATTCATCGAATTCTGCAGTCTTCCACTTCCCAGACTGCTCTTCACTGTTTAAAGGCCTCTGAAAGAGCCTTTTCCCCAAGTGCCACATGTATTTTTCTCCTCGCTATCACTAGTATTTGCATGATGTCCCTATGTAGAGAATAACTCAAGGGCCAGCTGAATTTCTTCTGGAGGTTCTTGAGTGAATGCTGCCTTCTTTCCTGACATTTGAGGAATGTCACTCCTAAGGATGAAAAAAAAAAAAAAAATATCCAAGTCAAATGAGAGCTAGTGAGAGCTCAGAAGTAATGTAACTTCTGCAGATCGTAACTGTGGTCGGTTCTGGAAACCGGTGAAGTTTCTCTGTGTATTTTAGTTACCTTCAGTAAAAGTGGGACATGAGAAAAGCATGACTTCAAAAGTACTATGCTTGATTTAGCAGGTGAAGAAGTGCTGGCTTCTTGTGATAATGATGCAATGCATTTTTTTCTTCTAGTGCACAAGAATATATTTCAGTGCTGCTGGTTGAGATGAGCCACCAAATGAACCGGTTAGGAATGAAAAATTTGAAAAGTGAGATCCTATTGGATCATGTTTAGATCAAGAGCAGTGCTCTCACTCTGTGCTCTTGCACAGACTCAGTAACTTAAGTCACAGTAGAAGATGAGAAAGAAAACAGGGTTTTGAGGACTTGGCTGGGGACAAAGTTCAAATTCTAGTGAAAGCTGGGCCAGTCTGTGCCTGGATAGTGCGTTATACAGAAGTAAAAGGTAACTGTTGGTTTTAAGTCTGAATGGTGTAAGGGTGTATGACTTAGAAAAGAATGAGTAGACAGCTAGTAATTACTGATTGTTTCCCTCACTTTTTGGGGTTGATGGCATATACCAGGTATCAACGGACAGTTTTGGCTCTTGAAGTGTAGTACTGTGGAAGTGCACTCCAGGAATTAGAACTAGGTAACTTTGTTTTCTTTAGATCCTAAAAGTCTTTGTGTGCTTATGGCAGTTTTATTCTGAAGTCTGTGGAATTTATCTATCAGTTTTAATAAGTGTTGGTTTTGCTTGCAGATGCAGCTGCATCTGTTGCTGATCGTGAGGCCAGCCTGGAGCTAATTAAGTTGGATATATCACGCACATTTCCATCCCTGTATATATTCCAGAAGGTGAGATTTTTGTAACTTTGGTTATGACAACTTTAAACTTCTGAATAGTTAAACAAGAAAAGAAACCTAGCTGGCTAAATATGGAATAGTTTTTAGAAATCATTTGTGTAAGACAACCAAAGTAAAATTAGCGCTTTTCTGCACACAACAGCAAATAGTCATCTCTTCCCTCCCTCCTTTTTTAATGACAATAAAGTAGGGACATTTAATGATGGACTATAAGGCTTTTTCTCCTGGAAAAATTACATGTGGTTCTGGTTAATGTTTATGAAATTACATGCAAAAATAAGAATATTCTCACTGCTTCTACAGAAATCTTGATGCCTTTTAGTACATGTTTTCAGGGTTTATGATTTTTATATGGATATAATATATGCATACACATGTATATAAAATAGCATGCACTGTTGTAATACAGTAACTTGTGTTACTAAGAATTACAACATCCACTGTGTCTGAAAAGAAAACAACCACCCTGGATGTGTACCAGGTATCTTTATTTTCCATTATGTGCTGATTTCCACTGAATTACTTCATAGGATTATTGGTCTGTTACTTTCCCTTTAACATCTCAAAAGCATACATGGTAATGCTTAGAGTAAAAAACGGTATCATTCTAGATGTGAACAAAGCAATAATTCACTGGCTCACTTCTATCTTAAAATACTGACTTATTACCTTCCTATATTTATAAAGTGATTTTGAAAAAAACTTTTTTTTTTTCTTTTCTCCCTCCTCTCTCCCCTTATATTAGGGTGGCCCTTATCACGATCTCCTGCATAGTGTTTTAGGAGCATATACATGTTACAGACCGGATGTGGGATATGTAAGTATTTGCTGTAAAGTGTTTATGGCAAATAAACTTAAGATGTCATGTATTAGAGTGTATTAAATAAGGAGGTTATCTAAACTTTATGCTCGTAGCACTCAAAAATAATTCTACTTTAGCACTTACTCATTTCCTAGCAATTACAATGGTGTTAATTCTTAGAGATAATTCAATAGCTGAAAATGCACTGAGTGGCAAGGATGAGTATACTGTCTGGCTTGCATGGAAAATTTTAAATGGATGTGTTCACAACGCATTATAGTTGTGACAGACCTAGAGTATCTACAGGGAAAAAAAAAAAAAATGCTGGCGGACTTCCAGTGAGCACATAGCCTGTTCTGTCCTAGTGTTGCTCCCACTGCTGCCATTTCCATAGTGCTACTCTCTGCTTCACTGCCGCACATCCTAAAATCCAGAAACTCCTTCTTGGTATCTTGTTGTCAAAGATTAATTGCTCCATCTGAGTTCAGTGAAGATAAGATTGTTTGCAGCAAACATTACTATGCTTTAAAAAAACCTGCAAACAAACCAAAACCCGTAAAAAAATCTGCCAAAAAACCCACAAACAAACCAACAAAACCTAACATCTCTCTGAATGGTGTCAGCTTACAGAAGCAGTTAAATAACAAACAGATGCTTTTTTCTTCTTTTTCTTTCTTTGTTCGTCGCAGTAGCTAGGAACACCTTTCACAAGCTCTAATAGCTTCTGGGCTAAAAAGAACTTGAAGAGTTTTAAGTCTGATCCATGCAACAAAGCATTATTTAGAACAGGGTGTGTTTTCCTCTATAAATCAGCCATGCTTGGGACTCTGCATCAATATCTAGTTGATTTCTCGCTTTCAAATGTTTTTTAGCCTTGAATTCTGTCATCTGTGACCTCATTTTTGGAGACCCTCCCATACTCTCAGTGAGGTTACAAACTCTGCAGGTTCTGAGACTGCTTGTTCCCAGGGTGGAGTTACATAAGGCAAATAAGTAGTTTTACATGGATAGGTCTTCTTTTTTAGGAACACAGCTAGCCTGGATATTGCTGATCATAGATTTATTTATAGATTTATGTGGCAGAAAATTTAATCTTATTTCCAAACCCATCTATCCCACAAAAATGGAAAGCTGTGAGACTGGTTTTTATGTGTATCAATACTTTTTTCCTTATTTCATTAAAATACTGAGTGCATTTTTTTTTCCAATGAGAAGCAGGCAGCATAAATGTCTAGAAACAGCAGAATAATCATCATTGCAGTTGAAATTGGTAAAATTATTTTTTATAATATAATGAGTATTCACTATATTTTATCATAATGAGTATTCAGATCATCAGTTAACAAGAATGCTCTTCACTTCTAGTGCAGGCTACAGTGTTTCTGAGAGAGTAATCATGGAAAAATGTAAACTTGCATTGTAGCCAACCACTTAGAAGTAATTTTATGTATGTGAACAAATACTGTTTGACAAGTGGAAAGATATGTATTGACTGTTCTGAAACAGAATTTTGTCTCAATTCCAAAATATCCGTCTGGGTCTAAACTGTCCCATATGTGAGGTTTTTCTCCATGTCTGCTTTTTCCATAGCTTAACAATGAATTTAAGGCCAAATTTTGTCTCTTATGAGCTGTGCATCCAGCCTGTGTGGTTTTAACTTTCTTGCGTTCCAAGTCCCAAGGACTTGTGGTCATGAGACCTCCCAGAACATCCATCAAGCACTTAAAACCAGCATCTGAAGAAACACTCTGGCTTGCTGAAATCAAATTGACTGCATGCATAAAAATTATTTATTTGTGTTGTTTCTGTTAATCTGGAAATGTTGTGCAATGGTATTTGATATATTGCAGACTGTAAACATTTGCATTTCCAAAGGTATAAGATGTACTGAACCTACTCACCTATTTTTTTGCCTGATGCTTTTCCCACTTGAAGGTACAAGGGATGTCCTTCATTGCTGCTGTGCTCATTCTCAATCTGGAAGAGGCAGATGCTTTCATTGCCTTTGCTAACCTTCTAAACAAGCCATGCCAGCTGGCCTTTTTCCGTGTGGACCACAGCATGGTATGCACAGAGTTTTCTGGTTTTGAACCATAACATTACTTTGACTTTAAGCATAGGTGATTTATTGATGACGTCTTTTTGTCCTATTGCATAATGGAGAACTTTAACCTGTGGTTACAAATGAGAATTCCGGATACTAATCCGTAGAACATATCCTACTGTTTTGATTTTTCCTCTAGAAACACTTAATCATTGTACTTATCCTAAGAAGTCACATTGTGCTGTGTTGACATCCTCAATTCTTGGTGGTGTTTCTGTTATTTTAAAACTAAACATTCTTTTGATGACGGCTTATGAGGTGCTTTACTGTCTCTACAGATGCTGAAATACTTTGCAGCCTTTGAAGTATTCTTTGAAGAAAATCTTCCCAAATTGTTTCTTCATTTCAAATCATACAGTCTTACTCCAGACATATATTTGATAGACTGGTGAGTTCAGAGAACAGAGCAAACCTAACCTTGCAACTGTTGTAACACTTTCCATTTCGCTTAAAGTTTTTCAGCAATAGAAATACAGCATTTAAAAAAAACATTCAGTAGATGTTTGTGTACCTCAGCTTCCTAGACGTTGTGAAATCGTAGTGAACTGTTTTGTGCAACTGCAGTTCCTCTGGCAAGATTCTAATTTTATGAACTGGGATTAGGAGTGACATCTGTTCAGATAGAAAATTTTTCTTGTTGCTGCAGGTAAGAGTCAGCTATGTGTAACCTAAGTACGAGAGAGGAGGCTACTACACTGTAGTTCTCTTATAACTGATTGTAAGTGACTTGATGAAATGAACATAATCAGCTACTGAAGGAAGAATGAATATAGGAGTATAGACTTGAAAGCAGAAGGAGGATAAAACTTAGGACCTGGTTTAGGAAGGGATAAACTTGCAAAAAGAGTGAATGTTTTGAAGTAATGAATGTCCTAAAGCAGAGAGTACCAAACTACATTACGTGCCTGGAACAGAAGGCTGTAATGTAAGCATCCTTGAAGTGTGTGTAGTGATTCCAAATGCAGAATGTCTATTCATAAGTGTGTGTGTGTGGATAAGGATGTGCTTCATATAGGATTATTACATGGATTAGAAGTTTCTAATAAGAGTAAATTGAATTGGGTAGAATTAAATAATAGAAAAACGTCATGTCATTGAGTACTTGGGAGCGAAGAAGTTTGGCTGTAAGGTGCAGCTTATGACTAGGCAGTAAGTCTCGGCAGGAGCAGGTTACGCTGTAGCAGCATTGAGTCAGGAGCATGCTGTAGTCCTGAGAGTTTAGGCAGATGGAGAGAGGTCTGTATGTTGTGGAAATAGCACTGCTGTACCAAGTACTAGAATAGTCTGCTTCAAATTGCCTGTGAGAAATTAAGATTGTTATTCCTGCACATGTTCCAAAGATGGCCTTGAGATAGAAAGGGAAAGTAGAAGAGGTTGTGGTAGTCTGTGGTAAGGAGCATTCAGATGTTCCTGAACCACTTCCCAATAGGAATAATGAGGAAACAGAGAACACTGTGCTTTATATGAAAGGAACCGCTACAAATTTATGAGAAGCGTTCTGCACACATTGTGTACCTCCAAAAAAGAGTACACACAACAGACTGAACTCTCTACCCGTGTATAATGAATGCTTTTTAAAAATTTTGCAAGAAGAAATGCAAGTGGACTCTTCCCAGTAAGAATAGAACAGTGACTGTCTTTAGATTTTGGCTATTTTTAGCATGAATAGAAGTTCAAAATATATCATGGAAATGTAGTTACTAAATTCTCCTTAGTACATTAGTGGGATCTAGCCTTCTCTTGAGATCATTTGTGGCTTTAGATTTAGTTTAGAAAACAAGTGACAAACAGAGCTGTTAAAATGTGTAGCTTAAAGAATGGGAAGGGTTAAGTTCTTACTTGTATATTACACCCTGCTTGAGTATAAAGATGCTTGCAACTTCTTTAGCCAGAGCTTCCTAAGACAGATGGCTTCCAAATGGAGGATTTCCTGTGGCATGAAAAGAGATGGCTTTCAGAGTAGGAGTTCTGACTTCAAAAACTGGGGACTTGTGGATCGTTGAAATACGGAAAAAATAAGAACACATGAAATAATTTGTCTGCTCACTCTCAGCTAATGTAACTAAGATTTAAAGGACGTTGTATATCCATCTTTCCTAAATAGGTTAAAGTTATAACTGTACCTTTTTTCTCAATTGTAGGATTTTTACACTCTACAGCAAGTCATTACCACTTGATCTGGCCTGTCGTGTCTGGGACGTTTTCTGTAGAGATGGAGAAGAATTTTTGTTTAGGACAGGGTTAGGAATCCTTCGGTTGTATGAAGATATTCTCTTACAGATGGACTTTATTCATATAGCACAGTTTCTAACAAAACTTCCAGAAGACATTACATCAGAAAAGCTTTTTAGTTGTATTGCAGCTATTCAGATGCAGAATAGTAACAAAAAATGGGCACAGGTGAGTTTCTTGGGCATCAAAAGAGACATGTCAGCACATGAGAGCACTTCTCTTGATGACCACTTTATGATGCATGTCTGACTTTTGAGCAATGGGCACTTCCTTTCTAGTGTCTCATTCTAGAAATTAATCTCCATGCTAATATTGTGGTGGTTAATATTGATCTTTTTTTATAAGACTGGCTTTTTTATATTCATGAAATAATTAACTTTTCCAGGTGTTTGCCTCACTGATGAAGGACAACAAAGAAGGGGACAAGAACCATAGCCCAGCGCTGAAAAGCTAATTGTTGTAATGTTGAGGTCAACTGAAAATGTGGAGAACCACTTGATGACAAAGGAGTTTTCACATCACTTCTATGTGGAAAAGCACTGTAGAAAATGTGAAAATGAAATGGAAAACCAACACAGCTCTCAGTGGAGTAATGAACTGATGAAATCTTCACCCTTTTGCCAGTATTAGCTTTTGTCATGGGAAGATTTATTTTCACACAGAATACTAAAACCTATGAAACTGAGAGGTGGAGGAGTTCATATTTAATACTTTAAAAGAATTAGCTCAATGCAATAAACATTTGTAATAACTTCTGTTGGTACTTTAAAAAAATTTTGAGGCATAACTTTTTTTACAAATACCACAAAGGCACTTTTTTGGGGGGATGAGGGAAATGCTAAATCTTAAGGCCCCAAAACTGCTATCCAAACCAAATGCTTTGGTACAAATATTACCTCCAAAATTAACCATTTGAAAGTAATGAGGACCAAATAAGGTTGTTTGGTATGTTTTTTGTGCAAGATGGTTAAAACTTGGGAAGGGATATTGTCTTATTTACTTGTTTGTTTGTTTTTTTTTTTTTTAAGTTGCAGCTTCATTCTTCAGTCTGGGCGAATGTAATTAACTCAGGAACTGTGGAAGTATTGTGCCCAAACCTGTTAACAACAAAAATCATCTGAATTTTGAAAGTGGTAAGATCAGGGCTGCTCTTTTCAGAGTGTACAGCTTTCAAATCAAAGTGGTGTTAAGCATTTGTTTTGGTGTATTGGTTGTGCAGCTTATTAAAAATGGAGTGGGTATTCTGTGAAAGGGTTTTGCCACCAGAAGTTTTATTTTGTCGAGCCATTTCCAACTAAGAAATACTTGTATGTCACGGTGAACACTAGAAACTGACAAAGCTATCTGCAGACTTTGTGTTGTCAAAGGAGCAGCCACATTTAACACCTTGGAATAATGCAGACACAGAATTGTTTTTGAAACTATCTTTTATTAGTGTGCAATACTGAAATCCAAAAAGCATCTGGTTTAGTGATTCTTCACCATCTTTTAACTGTGAGACATAAGGTCTCTGTATATGTCACAGCAGATATTTTCAAACATTTCCTATTCTCAAAGATGCTGTACAACAACTTGTGATTGTAGGGGATGGAAATTTAAAATGGTTAGCACTACAGGTGAGGAACACTTGCACTCTCCTGGTCCATTTTTGCTAATATTTAATGTAAATAAATTCCTTACATGTGGGTTTTTGTAACTGGTCCCTCTGTGGAAATCAAGTCAAAATTGCCATTATGTATTTTGAAGTGCAGGAGGCTTCTGGTCGTCTGGTGTTTAAAAGCAGAGTCTACATAACTGGGCTAAAGATTTAGTGTGGTGTAACTTAACGTTTAAAAACTACATATATGCTACTCATAACATTACGATCTGAAATTTAAATGTCAGATTTTTCTTAACTTATGTATTCACTACTTTAATTGGATCCAATTTGTCTTATATTTTTGTGTTATCTTGTACAGTTTTCCTACTTTTCAACTATAAATCTGTATATAACTGTAAATAGAAGGCTCAAGCCTTCCTTTAAGACCACTGGTAACAACTCCTGTGTAAATAAAACTTAGAGCGGATGTGCGCTGTCCTGCTTTCTCATTCCTCCGCAACTTGCTGCTAAGCAGCACCACAGAGCGCTTTTCAGGGATGCCGGCGTGCTGGCGAGAACCGGGCTGCTTCCCGCACACTGAGCCGCCACGCCCT